ATTCCTGCTCCCAGCACCACCCACGCCGAGAGCTGAGCCTTCTCTTGCACATGAAAATATTCTTAGCTCAGATCTCCCAGCCCATTCCTCAGGGTTACCTCTGTATCTCAAAAATACGGACATCCCCTTCTTTCTCCAAGGAAGCCATGTCTCATGCCTACTCATGCTGGTATTTCAAAGGTTATTTCACCAGCATGGAGTGCCTTGCAAGACAAGCCTCCTCTACACACTGGGATTTATGATGGGGAAATCTTTTTATCCTGGGTCAGTGGCTGATGGTGTTAATGTCTCTCTCCCCATTACAGCCTATTCTCCAAAGAAAATCTCACTTCAGGCATCCAGCTCTCATTTGTGTCTAGGGTAAATCAGTACATTCTGCCACAACTGCTGACCTGACGGAGAGGGAAAAGAGCCCAGAGCTGCTGCCTGCACCCAGGTGCAACACCAGGTCCCCAGCCAGCGCAGGGAGAGGTGGCCATTGTGCAAGCGCTGGCTTTGCTGGCCGGGCGTGTCCTGTCTAATGCCTTGTCTGGGGGCACTCCGACTCCCTGCCTTAGTCTGCTGATGTAGCAAGGGCTTTTTTGGGAATCCGAGCATCCTTCCTAGAGACAGAGAGTGGGTCAGGGGTGAAATGTGTTTGCACATTTTGTTTCTTCTCAGCACAGGAGTTAAAAAAAAAGACTCAGTTTTTACAGTGTGCTTGATGCCACACTCCAGTGAGAGCTCAGGGCAGAGCCCTCCTTCATCTCTTATCTCCTCCAGAAGGAATTCTTCCCTGACCTTGGGCTTGTCCCTTGTGCCACTGGCAGGCGAGACCTCAACCACTGCCTGAGCTCAAGGACAGGGCTTGGCTTTCCCTGGGCGTAAAGGGGATGTCTGCGGGTGTTTGTCTGGCTTCTGGGCACACGATCACGTGGATGCCTGAACCCATAAATTTTCCCAGGATTTTAGAGTCATTCAAGCTGACCAGATGAGAGCAGAATAAAAAATATTTTCAACTCAGACCTGTCATCAACTCTGGACTGTCGATAAATCTGTCTGGTCTGTCCTTCAGCTGAAGGTTCACTGGGAAGAGATGGCTTTTTTCTGATGTGTGGAGCTGCACACAAAACACAAATAAACAAAATCTTAGGAAACTCTGTAAAATACGAGGTTCCACACGCACACTACATGGATTAACATTCCTCATCAGGCTTCTCTGCCCACTGCTTCTCAGTACAGGAGAGACTCATCTTTAGCAGAGACAAAGAGAGGGAAGGCTGTTTTCTGTTTTAGTTGTTTTACTGAGGTCCAAACAAAGGGAACGGGGCTGCAATGCACATCACAGTGAGAGCAGAGCCCTGGCTTGCTGCTATTTTTAGTAGAAACAAGCAGGAAAACTAACAGACTGGCCAGTCTGCACATTTTCAGCACCAGGCTTCAACACAGTTTTGCAGGTGATATGATGGAAAAGTGCCCTTCACCAGCTTCTACTTGCAATATTCCCATCAGTGAAAGCTCAAATGTTTGCTGTGTTTCAAAGGTGCAGTTTGCCCTCCAACAACCACACATCACTCTTCAGTGAGTGTCTGAGCATTTTCTCAGGCCAATTGCTAGCTCAGAATAAAAGCTACAGCAATAGCAACACTGAAAGGTGGCCAAATTTTTTGCCTGAACTGAACTCTTTTCATTTAGAAAAGTAAACAAGCAGGTCCTTCCCAAACCCCGGTGGAGCAGAGGATGCAGCACTGACAACCCATGAACACCCTTCCAGCATCAGTACATGCCAAGAACCTCTTGCTCGAGGGGTGAACATGGTTCATGCTTTTTTCAGCTGGAATCAGAAGGAGGGAGGAGGGGAGGCAGTGTCCCAGCTGTCTTGTTGGGGACAAGACCCTCCCTGTCCTCAGGGGGAGCAGGAGCTGGTGGCCTCACCCCCCAACTTACCAGCACTTGTACACACTCCACAGTGGAGGAGTTCAGCCACCGGGCTTCAAATGTTCTGTCTGTCCCAAAATGGCACTCCAGAGCTGTCTCCTGGGGGAGGGAAGACAAGGTCAGAATGGCTGCAACAACCATTTTGTGCAGTTCTCCATCTCAGCCAACCCATACAGCAGATGTCACGTTGCACCGTGTTTCTGCCGTCAATACCTGAGCCGTGTCTCAAGTCAAATAAGAGATCAGAACACAATACTGTAAATGGGGCTGAGGTCTGTGCCTAATTAATCCTGCTCTGTTACACACCCTTACATATAACTGCTGCATAAGCACTGCACATGGAGCCAAGCCCTGCCCCTTGCTCTCACCCAGCGTGCTGCTGCCAGGATAGGAAAAAATTCTGTCTCCAAGCAGGTAGATGCTCCCCCACTACCGAGGTCTGACTACCCTTGAAAACTCATGGACCTGATAAAAGACAGGAAAGAAAGCACCAGACTCCTGGCAGGCAGCTGCTGCCTCAGCTAACACACACGCAGCTGCGAGGGGGAAACTGGAATCTCCCCAGTGCATCGCTTGCGCCCGGGCAGCTCCGGCTCT